TGTACTGCAGACTGTTGTTGTCGGCGTACATGATGAGACGCGTGTAGTCGTTGAACAACACGCCCACGCTGTTGTCGCACAGCTGGTAGCCTGCAATGCGACACAGGTTCCTTTACTCAACTGCAGACGGGTCGGGCATCTAAACTAAGCTCATTAAAAAAAAAAAAAAAAAAAAAAGGTATAGACAAAAGTTATTCATTTTGAACAAAAACAAAATAAGAGGCGGTTTTACCCAGCTATGATCATGAAAATGAACGTCGAGGTGATATTGAGCTGACTCCTAACGGCGGCACAATTTGCGCATGTCAGTCTTACCTAACCCGTACTTGTCCGAGTAGTCCACCCACTTGCTGATCCAGAAGATGGGAATGCATGCGGGGTCCTCGGCCTCCTCTGCACCAAACAAATGGCGTCCCGTTAAAACAGGTGGCGCGGGACGAGCGATCGCGGGCGCAACGGGAGCCTCACCTTGGCGGACGAGCGGCCTCTCCGCCGGTTTGGCGGCTACGATACTGTTGAGCTGCTGCAGCAAGTCTTTCAAGTTGTTTTCGGCCGGTTCCAGGTCCCTAGCGCACAAATCACGCATCACTTTCACCGCCCGCTAGTCACGCAACAAACCATCACTGCTCAAATACACTTGGGTGATTTTTTTTTCATCATCAGAGTTTTTTAAATTTGTTGAACCTTCAATTGAAGTTTTTTGGGGTTTTTTTTTTGGTAATTTCTACATTAAATAAACAAAAAACTATTTTAATATGAAACTATTTTGGCGACTGTAGATACAATTTTCTACCGTTCTTAATATTTTGATCACTTCCTTGACCACAGGTGGGACCCCCCCCCCCCCCCCACTGAATTGTTGAGACTAAAACCAAAATTAGTTGCCCAAGCATTCAAGCGCATTACCTCGGCATGTGCTCTTCCTTCACGTCGGCGTCCTCGGACCCTCCTGCAACAAAGCAAACGAGTCACCGTCAGCGCCCACCGGCCGGCAAATCCCCGGAACGGACGAAACGCTCTCCCACCCTTGTTGCCCAGGGCGGTGAGGGGCCGCCGCTGGGTGGCGTCGGACGGCGCGATGGAGAAACGCGGCGGCACGGTGAGGCAGGTGGTGGGCAGGCGCGCGGGTGTGTAGCCCGATGTGAAGAAGTCGTCCGTCAGCATCTGGGCGATGGTCGGCCGCTGGCCGGGGTCGGCGTGCAGCATGCGCTTGATCAGGGACACCGCCGCCGAGTTCACGTGCTGCCAAACCCCCAAAAATATGCCCAAAATGAAAATTCTTCTTCTTAGTGGTGCATTGACAAGTTGCCCGTCAAAAACAACGGGCATTTGCAGGACACATTTACGTTGCCATTCAGACTTTGGGACCGTTTCAGAGTCTCAACGTGCACGCAAAGCGGCCAGGGCCGGAAGGCCAAAATTCCGCCGTGCGAGGCGGATATGCTGCCGGTGGCAAAAGAGAAGTTGCCGTTCGTTACCCAGGGGATGGTGTAGTTGTTCTTCTTGATGCGGTTGTACGTTTCCTTCAGGCACGCCGTTTCAAACGGCGGCTTGCCCACCAGCAGCGTGTACCTGAAAGCGAAGGGAAAAAAAAGGGATGAGAATCACCATAAAAAAAATATTCTAACTAATTTTCAATGCTACGAACCCCCCCGCCCGCACCCCTGTATTTTCCGCACTATGGGGTGCATCGGAGTATAAGGCGCACTGTCGGCTTTTGAGAAAATGAAATGCTTTTTGGTTCGCCTTATATCAATTGCCAAGGGTCTGCCGAACCAACGTGAATTCTGTGTCGGACTCACAGTATGCATCCAAGTGACCACACGTCCACCTCATAGCTGTGTCCTTTTTTGCACAGAACCTCCGGCGCGATGTAGTTTGGCGTGCCGCACAGAGTCTTCTTGCGCTCGCCGTCAAACTCGATCTTAGTGGCCAGACCGAAGTCCCCTGAGGTGAGAAACACTCAAGTTGGTTTTTCCTCCCCCTGGGTACAAAACTGACCTCACTTTTTTCTCCTTCTTCATTTTTGTACATACAAAATCTGCAAATCCAAACGCGTGAAAACGAACAAATTGGAGTTGAACACAAAGCACTCGTTCGGTAGGCAACTTTCTGCCATCTAGTGGAAGAACACTGAATTGCTCGGCTTGATTATTATTTATTTATTTATTTATTTATTTATTTTTTTACTGGCTTAACAAAGGTGCCATGCAATGTTTCAAGATGGGCGTTTTGGCGCGCCCTTTCGTCCGCTCACCTATCTTGACGTTCATGTCGTCGTTGAGGAAGATATTGCCCAGTTTGAGGTCTCTGTGGATAATGCGGTTGTTGTGCAGGTACTGGACGCCCTTGAGCAGCTGCATCATGTAGTAGCGCGCCTCGGGCTCCGTCACAGCCTTGCGACGCTTGTGCAGCTCCAGCAGCGACTAAAATTAAATCAATAAAACAATTTACAACACTGGAAAACGGAACAAGCGGCATCGCTATTGATCTCTGTGCATTTGTCATGATCAACAACGTGCTTGACCTACTGGTGGCTGGTCCAGATCTCTTAACTCCTGAGTAGCTGGTTCGTGTCCCGAATCACAAATTAGGGCCAGACCAACAAATTATTATGTTTTATTAGTAATTTTTTCGGCCAATTCCAAGATGTGGCAGGATAAATTTACATGAACCAGTTCATCAACCAGTTTAAAAAAATGTCATGAAGGACTACAGAAATCTGAATATTTACCGATGAGAGGCTGAAATGAAAGGATTTACGTAAATTCAAGTAGAGCCTTATGCAGTTGCTCAAATTGAATAATCCACAGTCAAAATAGTTGTCGACGAAACTTGATTGGTCGCTTGTGGATTTTGACACCTCTAAAAGCCCACCGTCAATAATTAGTCACCATTTGTCAAACTGCTGCTTGTTAAAGTGGGTTGAGTTCACTACACTGTATCACCAAACAGCACTTTCTCACATTTCAAAGACTTGCAAACAAATCAAAGTACTTGTGTCTTTTTAAATACGGCCAAACGATGACTTAGCTATAAGAACTTGCAAGTCAGGTTACTCGTCTCACAAGGTAGTAGAGCGGGCACTCGGATCAGGCAGAATCACCTATTTGCAGTTTTTTTTCTTCAATATTTATAATTTGATGGTGGTTGTGGTGGTGGTGGGGGGGCAACTCTTCCTGTTTATTATGGAAATTGGAGGTTCATACTCGTTTGTCAGTGAATCTACAAAAGGCGTTAATTATACGCGGATTTGGGCTATTCGCGGGGCCGGCTCGGTCCCTCTCACGGGCGAATATCAGAACCATGATACTCTTTTCTTGGGTTGACTAGTTAAGTTGGTTGCCTTGGCAGGGTTATGCGAAGTGAGGCGGAGGTACCGGACCGGACTGTCGTGTACTCACTCTCCTTTTGCAGATCTCCAGCACCACGAAGACGAAGTCGTCGTCCTCGAAGAAGCCTCGGAAGCCGACGATGTTGGGGTGGTCCAGGCTCTTGTGGATGGCGATCTCCGAGGTCATCTTCTCGCGCTGGTGCGGCTTGACGATGAGCGACTTGGGCACGATTTTACCGGCGAACACTTGGCCGCTCTCCACGTCGGTGATCTCGTAGCACTTGGCAAAGCCGCCCTTGCCGAGGAAGCGGCCGCGGGTGTAGCACCGCTTCGCCCGCGTGTCCGCCAGGAACTCGGGGATCTCCTTGAGCGGCGTGGAGCCCAAGGCCGACGACGGTTTGCCGCCGTTCGCCACCACCGCCGCTGGTGGCGGCTGCTGCTGCGGCTTGGCGGTCGGCGCACTCATTCTCGCCTGGAAAAGTGGCTTCGAGGTCGGCGAAGTAGCCGGGGAAAGGCCGACTCCACGTTAAAAAGCAAAGCTGAAATAGTCTCGAAACTCACCGCGTTTCGAAGACAACGTGAGCCAAACACTTAAAACATCGACTTCTAAAGTATGCCAAACCCCTTCAACTGGTGATTTTAGGGTAGAAACCTGTTAGCCAAACTTGTTCGTCCGACGTCAGGCCAGTTTGTGACAACAGTTGCCAATATGAATTTAAAAAGCGAACAGGGGTAGTGAAGGCTTCCTATTGGTCCGTTGGATTTGAATTCCAACGCGACGTCGTGATGCATCATGGGAAGCGTAGTGCGAATGAGCCAATGAGCGACAGCGTGAGGCAGACGCTGTGATCCGATTGAGTCAATGTGTTTCTTTTGAACGGGTGCTCATGGGAAACGTAGTTGGCGAGCGTGGGACTTTAATCAAACGCATGGTTGCCAACAAGGACGTTTTGAAAACCTTTACTGTAAGGTCAATATAGTACAAGTACCAAAAACATTCTGCCTTTACAGGAAGATCATGCGCATGTCTATGTGCTGACTGTGAAGGCATTGAAATGTGACGGCTAAAAGCTGTTTTTTAAATTTATTTTACGACGATACATGACTGGAGAAAACAGCCAAACGCAAAAAAAAAAAAAAAAAAAAAACCAGCAAAGACGCAAACAAGCACAGCTTATTATTCATGTAAAATACATGTTTTATATGATTACTGTAAATAAAAATGTAACAACTCATTTATGTTCACCTCCATATAGCCATATACACATATTAACCACTTAGTTTTTATATAAATTAAGGCTAGTCTTTTTTCTAGTTACAGTATATCCATCCATCCTTTTTCTGATCCGTTTATCTCGTCATAAGGGTATTTATTTTAAAAACATTACATACTACACCATAAAACAATTTTAAATTGTATATTATTTTTCTTTGAAGGAATAATTTCATTTTCTTCATATTTCAATAAGATTGACATAATTTTAGAAAACAAAGCCCCAATATAGTGCTTTCAACAAAATCCCAAGAAAAAGTTTTAATTTTAATACGTTCCAATGTATATTAAGTTGAAGTTATGAAAATGATGCAAAAGTCTTAACTATTTTATTGAATTGAATTTGAAAAAAAAAGGAACACACGCGATAAAGCAATTAAGGCAAGACACCCATATGGTTTAACACAATTCACAAGTTTAATGCAAGTTACAAAAGTTTAGTTTTTTTTTTTGGTGGTCTTTTTTAACCAACAGAAGCACTGAAGTCGAAGGCATGGTCATAAAATTTTCCAGTCAGTAGTCTGCATAAAAGTCTATTTTAAGTTGTAGTGTCAGATTGGCGCTCTAAAACAAGCGGATGTGACTAAAAATCACATAAAATGGTCCGGGACGGCGAGGTCAAAGTGCAAGGTGACGTTGCCGTCATGGTGGCCCGTCACCAGCGTGGCGCCGTCCTCCGCCCAGCGGGCCAGTTGCCAGCCCATGCCGTCGGGGGCCGCCGCAACCGTGATGCCGCCACACCGCCGCTTTAGCTGCCACACGCACACGCAGCCGCTCTGATTCACGCCCACTGCTGCCACGTCGCTGGCGTCTGCCTCACACAGCCTGCGGGAAGCCGGTCACCATCAGAAATTCATACGGCGAAGGCCCCGCTCATTGGCCGGTCTCGTCTAACGTGGTTGCACAATTGTCCACACCCTATTAAGTTCAGAATGAACCGATCACATTCAAACTTATGTTGAAATAGGAGTCGGCACACAGGTGAACGACATTGAAAGAACATCTGAATAACCCGAAATGAAGTTCAGATGGTGTAGCTGAATTTGTTCACACTCTGTCAGAGGCCTGACGGTTTTGTGCTAGCACCGACCGCCATTTGGATTGCGAGCTGTTCTTTCTGAATACAGACACATCCCCGGTTGTAAGAGGGTGTTTGCAATTGTGCAAAGCCGTCATCTTAGAATGTGATGCTTGCGCAGTGATCGACAATTACATCCTCACAAATAGAGTGTCTCAAAATTTATTACACCGGTCAAAGATTGAGAATTAAGAATAGCAGGCAATAGATACTGGGCCGATACCACACTTGTTTCGAGGTATCGGATAGTCCCGCAGGCTGCCGATACCTTACTTACTTTTGCTGGTTTGCCGTGGCAATAGCAACAATCGACGACGGCAATGTCGTTGGCTCCCAGCAGGTGAGACGATCTGGATTTGAGTGTGAGATCGGTTCACAATTGTTTTTTTTTTTCCCGTACAAAAGTTGTAATACGCCATACATGATTTGAAATGATTTAATAAAAAAAAAAAAAAAAACCGTATAAAATACGGGGAAAACGTACAAGTTGACACGTATGCCAGCCACCTATACTTAATGCAAAACAATCCGACATCGACTCAGTCGTGGACTACACTGTGGCGGTTTAACAAACCAGGGAATCATTATTTACACGAAACAAAGAAAGATCTTGCGAGCAATTAGTGGTCACTGTATTAATTGAATTTCAATATACCAAAAATACTTGCGGTATCAGTACTGTTTGTCGGCGAGTGCCCAAGAGTGACTGGTTGTCCTGGTACGGTGCATGTATTATGTATCAAACATCTCTCTCAGAGATGACTCCAATTCAAATTGCTTTTTCACAAACATCTGGTCACTTTCACCTTCCCAACCAGGATGCCGGCGGCTCCAGCTGGGCTGCCAGGATGCTTTTGCCGCTGAGAGGGTTCACCGCAACCAAGGAGAAGAGTGCTGGCTTCTTCTCTTCTTTCTGTTTGCAGAACACTTCATCGTTGGCGACGTTTTGTTTCGTCTGGAGGCGGCCCAGAAACAGATGCTGCACGAGGACCAAAAGCACACCCTGGACAGACCCGGAAAGTGACAACGACAAAAAGGAAATTCTCAAAGATTTGGTCATTTCACATCGTTCACCTGTCGAGTGTACGTGGGGATAGGCCGATTATCAGCCGGGCCGATTCACAGCGTCGATATTTGGCATTTTGACAAATAATTAGCATTAGCCTTTTTTAAAAGTCTGGGTCAACTTTAGGAAAGTTTTTATTGGTCCATTTAAACTTACTAAACGAAACTTTATAAAAATGCTACTGCAATAACATTTCAGTTATTTGCAATTCTTTACAAACTATTTACTGCCCAAAAAATTACAGAGCCATTTATTCTTTAATTATTCTGCATTTTTTTTGGTCTGAATTTTAAAAGGAAGACATCTATTATTCAAGATTAGGAATTAAAATACAAGAAAATGTTGACAATCTAATTTCTTTTTTTTTTTTTTTTAATAAACAGATGCTTTAAAGGCATCGAGTTGAGAGTTTAATTTTGACACAAGTGAATATCAACTCCAAATATCAGCTACTGGCCTCCTTGATAATCTATATCGGCCTTGAGAAAAAAAAAAAGATTGGTCTCTCTCGAATGGTGAGCCACCAATTTTTTCAAACCAAAACAGCAGACTCCCTGCGTCATTTCAGGCGTGGCCCTTTGCAACTTCTGTGTGGAGCTGCTCATGTCAGATGTGATTACCAAATGTCACGCTGCCAATCAAAAAAAGTGCCTTTATTGGCTGAATTTTTGAAAAATTGCAGCCAGCGCTACCAAGCCGAAACGGTTGCCTCAAACCAAACTGGCAGACTTCCTGGGAGTTTTCAGCGATGGCTTCTTGAGACTGTGCACATTCTAGAAAAGTTGAACAAAATTCTGGTTGCTAAATGAAACTGGCTACAGGGGAGGATTTTTAGGAACCTGGGGGACTTGAGTTATTGACATTTTGTGTTTTATGGCGAGTCATCAAAAGTCGCTGCTATGCGCCGCCCACATACAACAATGAAAACGCATCTTTTTTTTTTTTTCGTTTTCCTCCCCATCAGCCATCTGTCTAGTGTATGAGCTTGAAATCGTGGTTGCAAATTTGGGGGGCAAGGTGGTCTTTGAACGGCCCCTGAAAATAGCCAACGTGACTCTCCAAAATGGCTGCTTCCGAGCAAAATGGCAGACTTCCTGTCAGTCGACGAACACTTACACGGCAGGAGAATCCTCGTAAACAGGACGTGTGTGATAAGCTGTCACCAAGCTCGATTTTCCGCAGCAAGTGTCCACTCTTTAAATTCCTTGAAAAATATCAAAATAAAAAAACAACAACACAAAAAGCAAAAAAGGGAAACGTCATGAGGCGGTGCACCTAAATGAAGTGACCATCCGGCGTTTCATCTACCACACAAAGAGTCGGCCTCTCTCGTCGGTGCCGATCAGAGCGTCGGGGAGAACGTCCACCGGGGCCAGAGCCCGAACGCAAACATCAGGGGAGGCGAGATGGAGACGGTGGGAAGCGCTGCGAGGGAAAAAATTGGAAAAAGAAGAGAATAATCAATTCATATTTGTGTTTGTGAGTTGTTGTTTTTTTCTTTTTTTCAAACGGGCACAGATAAATGCGTCGTGAATGTTCACAAAAAAAAAAGCATGTTACCTTTGTAGAAGAAGAGGACAAAATGATCGCGTTTCATAAAATGCATACGCCGGACAGAACTTGTCAAAAAAAGCATTAGAACGCTGCTGCTGGACTTTTCACCAGGACAAAGAGATGTGAACACATCACACCAGTTTTAAAGTCTCGACCGTTTTTAAACCCTAGTGAGTGTTCCCAAAGCCCAAACCGGTTTAGGCCCAGAATACATCTGTTACTGCGATATATATTCAGACAATATAAACATAGCAGGGCCCCAGGACTCAAGTCAGCTAGTTCAGACCAAGGTCCAGACTAAATGCGGTAAGGCAGCATTTCACTGTTACCCTGGGGAAAAAAAAAACGAGGAAGATATTCTCCGATGTTCACAAACATGAAAAGTATGTTTGCTTCTCCTGTTGTCTTGTTGTCTGGTTGAGAGGGAGGAGATTTCATCTGTGCTGTATTTTGCACATACAGCGCATTTGACAATAAAGTTGTACTTGACTTGGACAGTCGATTTACTTTGTTCGTTGTGTCCAATCTTTTCGAAGACACGTACTTTAGCCCCGTCTCTGCCGTTCCCGAAAAAGCAGGCGTTAGCTCACAAAGTCTCACTTACCTGCCATCTTTTGCCAGCGTGAACGCCCGCAGCGTGCAGCCAATCGCCGAATGGGAGGAGGTGACCACCCGGGCCTCGGCCACGCCCACAGCCGCCCGCACGTCGCCGTCCAGGAGCAGCACGGGACGCCCGCCGCGGCACGAGAGCACCCTGAGCGCGCGCAGATGACGGGAAACGTCTCAAAGAGGGAGGAAAATTGGGCAAGGTGAGCGAGCGGGTCGTGGCGTACCTCACTTTTTTGATCTCCGGCCGACCCAAGGTCGCGCACACGAGGCCGGCGCCGTCCGGGACGGGGAACACCTTCATCAACGGCTGCGTGGACGAACAACAGCAACAAAATAACCGGCAGTGTCTCACCGGCACTGTCAATTTCAAATGTCCTGATTTCTGAATATGGTGATGTAAACTTGGAAAAAAAAGACAAATGTGTCCCATCCATCCACGAATGCACCGCTGTCAAACTCGAGCCCCGTTTCAGGCCAGACCCGGCCCGCCACATCATTTGATGCGGACGTCACTCCAAAGTGGAGTTTGACACCTCTGGATAAATGAGGAAAAACCAATTGACAGATGAATCGATGAAGAAATTAATTGTTAGTTGCAGCCCGGGAAAAAAAGAGTTGAGTTTAACACCCGGGACTGATTGTTTGCTGAGAACAAAACGTCCCCGCGCATTGTGAAGCGGCCGGCGCGGAAGCGAACGCCGACTTTTACTTTGGACGCACTCACCTCCGTGAAGTGCCACGTGTGTCGTCGCGTCCAAGCGCCCGATGGCGACGGCCGACTCCACAAAGACACCGCCCACTCTGCCGCCGCGGCGACGCACAAGCGGCCGTCCGAGTCCCGCAGGCAGCACGCGTCCACCAGAGCGCTTCCTGCCGGGGCCTGAACACACGTCCACGCAAATGCCTAATTGCCCGAGTCAGTCTGAATTTACTGTCACAATATCAAGCCACGCTGATTTCGATCGCCTGAAATAAAAATTTAAAAAAAACAGTCTGCAAGGGCTTCACGTGTCCGCCGTTGACAAACGTTCAGGACATCGCGTGACCTTAACCCCCAGGAGTGCAAGGAAGAACTCGGAAAACCCCATCTAGGGAAAAAGGAGAATCCTTGAGAAGGAGTCGCAGATGGGAGGGTGACCGGCCGCATTGGATGGCGAGTGGGCAACGTTTGACACAATCTTGTACTACACAATAAAATGAGTTGAAGCGCTTCACTCACACAAAAGTAGCGCTTTGCTGCCATCTCGCAGCTCTCTCCACGTCCACGTCACCCCGTGAACAGGAGTGGAAGGCCTCACTTTCAAGTTTCTCACCTTGAGCGTGCAGCTTGCGCGCTGCTCCGCTGCAGGCGGCATTTGGCCGTCGGCGGGGTCGGACGGTCGGGGGGACGCGGTCGGCGGGGATGGAAGGCTGAGCGAGGGGGTGGCAGTGTCGGCGGGCGACGTGGCGAGCGGGGTGAGGCCCAGCGAGGGCAGCGCCGGGCTGGAGGTGGCGGCGGCCGAGGTCGCCCGCAGTGGTGCCGAGGCGACCGCGGGGCTCCGTGGCGGCGGCGATTCGGCACCGAGTCCGTTTTTGATCGCTTCGGGAAAAACGTCTCGAAGTCCGTTGTCCTCCTGGCCCGCCTCCAGGGGGCGATCACAGCCGGGAAGCAGTTCCCGTTGCCGGTCCAAACCTTTCGGTTCTTGTTCCGCTGGACTCGGACACAAGTTGTTTGGGTCCAAAGGTAACGTTGGGGCGAGTCGCGTGTCAATGTTTCGGGGGTCGTTGTCTTCCGATGGGCTGGACAATTTTCCAACCGAGGGTGTGAGGCCGAGCGGCAGGCCGAGGCTTTCGGCCGCAGTTCCGGAGCGCCGTCGGACGCCGCCCGTGTTGTGGCGCGGCGACGGGAAAACTTCCATCCGAGATTCGGCGGCCACTTGGCGGAGTTTGCTGAGCTTCAGTGCGGCGAATTGCTCGTCGGGCAAGTGGAAATCCCGATGGAGGTCAAAGTGCGACAGGCGGCCTGCCAGCCGCGTGCGGGGACCAAGCGGCGGAGTCGGGCTGAGTTTGGGGGAGGGGAGGAGGAGGGAACGCCAGCTCTCGGAACCTACGAGGACACATTTGAAGAAGAAATCGATCAGTTGTCCATCGTGTCCACGGGACACGTCCTCTCGGTCGGCGGCACATGGACAAATTCATCATATTGTACTTTTTGAAAAAATGAGTAGGAATGGCTCCTATTTTTCTGACACCATCCCTTCTCACAACCTTTTTTTCAGCTAACGTTGCAGCCAATGTCAAATGTCATTTTTAGTTTGTTTGTTTTTATTTTTGTCATGTAGCGGCCGCTAAAAAAACAGGCGGGGGGGCCCACAAATAGCCCCGGGCCGTTGTTTGGACACCACTGCTTTATTGTAATAGACAATATATTGCTTGTGTTTGTAAAAAAATGAATTGAAAAAATACGTCAGAATAGGACCTTGGAAAATAATATAATCACACATTTAATCGCAATCGCAATGTTGAGGGGAAAAAAAGCGTTTCAATTATTTCTCAGCCACGGAAAGCGAAAGACGGCGTCATGCAAGTCTTACTTGGGGCCACCGGGGCGGACTTGATCATCTTGCGAAAGATGGGAAAGAGGTCCGGCGCTCCGGACAAAGGCTGCGCATCAGGGGGCGTGGCCTGCGGAGGGTGGCGAGGCGGCTGGGAATTTGGAGAATGCGCCTCACGGAGAGCCGGGGCGGTAGAAGGCGAGGCTCTCCGGACCCCGAGGTTGCCCCCACCTCCCCGCCTCCGACTCTTCCGACCCCTCGCCGGACAAGAGACGCGAGGGGGCGAAACGGCCCCCCGGCGGCGGTCCCCGACGGACACCGGAGCGGACCGCTCGCTGGAGCCGAGCGGGCTGGTTTTCTTCCGGCGAGGTCGACCCGAGCTCAGCTGGCCGCGGATGACGACGGCCCGCAGGTCCGGCTGGCTCTGCGAGAGGGCCATGCGCCTGGTGGTCCGGACGTAGTACTCGGCAGGGTAAAGCAGCCCCTCCGCCGGCGTGCAGGACTCCAAAAGGCTCGTCCCCTCTCCTGCTCTTGTCGTTTCTACGCTGCAAAGACTTGTCTTAAAAAAAAAAAAAAAAAAAAAAAAAAAATCAAATCATAACAATAAGATCAGCAATACGTGACTTCATTCGAGTCAAATTATCCGCTAACAGAACAGCAAGATTGGGCTTGGCGAGTTGACCAAGGCCTCCTGCGAGTAACCGACGCCAAAAAGAATACTGAACTGCCCATGGAAACCACGCGATGGCAGCAAAGCACTACTTTGGTTGAAATGAAGCTGCTCAATTCACTTCAACATGGACCCTCGGCACCAGGGCGTCGCCAAAGCACTACTTTTGAAGCCTCACACCTCACTTCCGCAGATTTGATCTGCGCCAAAACCGGCCCAAACCGCCACTTTTGCTTAAACAGTCATTCCTCGGTTTTCGACCATAATCCGTTCCAGAAAGCCGTTTGAAAAGCGATTTGTTGGAAATCCGAAACTATTTTAACAGCCCAAGATTACGGGCTAATACACTATGCAGAAACAACCAAAAAAAAAAAAAAAAAGAAATAAAAAACCGTCAGATTTGCGTAAATTGCAACAAACACGTCTGCTCACAATGAACACGCCACTTCCTCGTGTCAGGAAGCCGAGAGGAGTCGAGTGGCGCATTCGGGTTTGCTCAGTTTGGTCGGAAAGCGGTTTTCAGTCGTAATCCGAGGCGTAAAAATCTCGGATTTTCTGGTTGAAAACCGATTTGGGCGAGAACAGAGACGTTCGATAACCGAGGTTTGACTGTATTAAGCCACTCGACTCAATTCGGCTTATTTTTTTGGGTGCCAAAGCACCACTTTTACATTTGATAGATCGAGTCTTGCCCTCTGCTCAAAAACATCAAAGAAAATTTTTTCAATCGGTTGGTTTCACAATACTTTCTTTTTTTTTTTTTAATCTGCCAAGAGGTGAACTCGTGATGAATGAATTGCAAATAGGCCAAAGTTGTCTCAGAGTAAATTTGGCGTCATCCTGGTGCCAAGCAACTACATTTGAGAGAGGAGAGCAGATTCATTTCGTCAGACCACAGCTTTATCTAAAAAAACAAAAAACAATGCCTTGGTACCGTTGCGTGGCATCGAAAAGGATAAGACAGCTTTTTGGGTGAGTGTCAATTCCTCGCTATTTATTGGCCTGGGTTCTTTTTTTGCCGAAACTTACTCATGATAGCAGTTGTATAATCTGTTTTTGAGGGGGCGGGGAAGAAAATGCTCCAACACAACAACTGGATATTTTGGCCGGGACAGAACAATGACATATTTTCCCTTGTTTTGAGAAACTGGATCTCAGTTTTGGCGGTGTACCCGGTTTACCGAATGTTCAGGACTCTCTTCTTCAAGCACAAGGTGTCCTCCGGCTGGTCCCACGGGGTCATTCTCCCTTCGGCGACCGTCGTCTGGCGCGTTTCCGTCGAGTTTCTCATCCCGGAGCGGCGGAATGTTCCGGCACAACAGCGGCAGGGAGGGCGACGCCGGTCCCGAACTTTGGCTTTCATCGGCGGACCCCGCCTCGCCTTGCGACTTTCCTGCTTCTTCGCCGCGCCTCTGCCGGCGCATGCGGCTGTGGCGCGAGCGCAGGCGCAGGGTGGGACCGGCTCTGGAAAGGCGCGCCGGGTCGCTGCAATTCGGTTCCAGTTCCAACGTGGACGCGAGCGGGGTCCCGATCGTGCCGATCGTGGAATCGGCGGGGCCTGGGTGGGGAGTGTTATGTCACATTATATTTGATACATCAAGCCGCAACGACAAGGAATTTATGCTTGACCTTACCGCCCCCCCACCCGCCCCACACACAAATTTACCAAGCCTCCCGAATGCAGTCGCCTCAGATACATACTGGGTAAATATCCACATACGAATGACAACCCGGTCGGATTTGAAAAGAAAGAAAAAATAATAACAATATTACTAATTATTTTAAAAATAATAATAATAAGAAGAAGAATTGTGCCGTTCATACTGCATGATTAAAAAAACATTGATACATACAGTATATGATCAAAACATTTAAAATTGAGTGTGATCATAGTCAAATACTTGGATGGGCCTCTGTTGGTATCGGGTTGATACTGACTTTTTTTTAGGGTACTCGTGGAGGTTGTCAATAACATTGAATACCGGTAAGTCCTCTTCGGCAGTAGTTGGGCTATACTACGGCAATTTTACAAAGTGTGAATCATCCTTTGTGGAAGAAAGAATGCTCTGTGTATCTTTTTTTTTTTTTTGTCACTGCGTTGACTAAAATTGTATATATCCAAAAGTAATGGAGGTATCAATACTCAGCATCAGTGAGTACCCAAAGAGTAAATTCTCATTCTGGTAACGGCCTGAAAATAAAAGTGATATTGAACATTCCTACTCAACTTTATTTCTATTATTCTGTAACAACCACAGATGTAACAAAAAGCCGCACAGAAAACAGAACAACAATCATGAAATAAACAATAGAAGTGCAGCTAGGCCAATATGAAAAAGGCCAACACTGATATGTGTCAAAATGCCAAATATCAATGGTGAAAATCATCCTGGCCGATCATCAGTTGATCACCAAATACAATCTTAAGAACAAAATACAAATAAATGAACTCACTTGTTCCTGCAAGGTTGTCTTTGATGTTTGCGAATACGTGCACGGCCTTGTCATCTGTGCCGAACGAGCTCTTGTTTGCTCCATCTGTTGGCTTCGACGTCCCGTCTGGGCCTGCCCGGTCCTGGCGGCAGCTGTGGTGGTCCTGCTTTGGGGCGACCTCATTGCTCACGTGTTTCCGCACTGCCTCCATTTGCTCGGCGCGCTGCCAATGCCGACGTACAAAAAAAAAAAAAATCTCTCCCCATTTACCTCTTCCAGCAGCCCCGCAAAGAGAAAGATGTATCATGTTTTTGTTTTGTTTTTTTAAAGGTGGTTATGCTTTTACCTGCAGTTTCTGGGCGGTCTTGAGATACTCCCGCTGGAGCTGGGCCAACTTCCTCCGAAGCTGTGAAAAGTAAAATGGAAGAATGAGAGGACTCATCACCCCAAATGAATTGAATCAACGCCTCCATTTTGTCTCCAGTGTTAGTCTCGCCCTTTACGACAGTGATGCATTCAGTGGTTTAACGTTAGGCAATGATCTAATTCACAGGACTCTTTTCAGAAATGGCCAAACATGTGCTCTAAAAGACTCGCCATCAAGTCCGCTGACAACCCAGGCTAAAATGACCTCCTCCCTAGCCGATAGAAATGTGAAACAGTCGATTGAGATGTGGCTGACCAACATAATGCCTTATCACAAGTAACGACTTTTTTTTGAATCCGGGTTTTCTCGTGGCATATTATCATCACAAAGAGAATCTTAAAATATATGCCCCAAACCCGCAGGGGCTCTTTTTCAGCAGATACAGTACTTTCTTGACACACAAATTCAAAGAGTGATTTGGCAAATGGTGAAGCTCGACTATGCCGAGGACTACTGCCGTGATGTAGCACCGAGTCCAAAACATAACAAAATGGCTTAGAGGTAAGCAGTAATTTGTATTTTGAACGGCTTGCAAAGTGGCAACATCCACGCTAGCGTCTTCACGCTACTACTTGGAGCGGCAATGTTTTTTCTAAATCATGTAAACTGGAAGCAACGGCACAAGCGACCACAATCTTTGCGAACATTTCTTTTTAAAAAAAAGGCGATAACTTCAGACACCTCTAAAATCCTTCATAACAAACAAAAACGAAACTAAATGGATGAAGCACTAAATGTTGATTACGTTGTCCTTGTCATCGCAGTAGAGTGTGGACCTCAGCTGCTCCTCACAGTGCAGGACATCCCCAAAGGGACCGCTCTGCATTCTGCTCACCTACGAACACAAGACACGAGTAAATAAGACAAACTGCATTCAAACAAAGCGACACGTTCGCGAAAGCAGGCTAAGCTACACGCAAGGCGAGGCGGTTACGTTAACTCGAAGCTGTTACCGTTCGCGTCGTAAAATGCCCGACGTTACATTACAAGTGAAGCTTGTCGAACAACCTTTGGCTGTCAGCGAACGCTGACAGTTATCGAGTCACATACGCCGACTCCAAGGAGGTTGTTTCACGACAGGCGGCAATCGATGACGCGACGCTCTATTCGTTTCCAAATTCCCGCGACTCGTGCCCGGAAGCAGGTGAAAGCAGTCGACCCCCGCTAACTAGATCGCCGAGCTGCTACTGTGGTGTTGCCGCCGCTGCTTCGGTGGTGTTTATTGGCGGGTGACAAAGCAGCTTACTGGCGCTATATTGCCATCAAGCGGAATCGAAAAAATTAGATCCTTAAAAAAAACGTACATTCATAATGATTAAAGAGAATCAAATGAGTTATTGAATAGGAAAATGTAGTTCAAAAAAACACGTTAGAATTGATCTCGAGCTTGGTGGGGAAAGGAGTTCGATGTGGAGGCCACACACACCAAATCAGCACTCCAGCCATGGTATAGATTGAATAAGAGAAAGCTCTAGTACAAACCTGTATAATTCTGACTTGACAATACCCGTCGAGTTTGGTCCCAAGATGAGGTGGACGACAGTGTCTTCTGGGAGCCATATTGTCAAAGGAGGTTAAGGGAAGGAAATTCCCTCCAACCCCACTATTCAATCAACAGCTCTCCAATTGTGCATGTGTGAAGTATGAATTTGGCAAACTCCCGTGTTTAATCCATTTCATGGGAGAAGCGCAATTTTCCCCATTTGCTGTCAGCGGAAATTAAGGTGCTCAATTAACGAACAATCACAACTGACCTGTATTCTAAAGGTTAAACAAAACTGCTTGAAACCAAGCCTGTAGAAGTATCGTACTGGCATTCAAAATTCAACAGTCTTTTCATTGCACTTGGGCATACCAGTAAAAGCACTTTATAGCAGTACAAATTGCCTCAATATACTTCCTTTGTAAAACCAAGAATGTAACACTTTGTCGAATTTGTTTGATGACTAGCATTCAATACAATAAGGACAAGGTGAGAAGTGAGATCTGACATGTGCGCTTTATTAAGTTGTCATGTAACCAGAAGCTTGGCAAGCCTCATGTACAACACCACCTTACAAAGTAGAAGCTGTCCTTTTTCCTCTCATTTTTGCATATTGACAATAACTGGAGCAAATATCTTAAGGCTGAAAGTACAAAAACAAACAGATGACATAATTTACATCAAGCAATACTAACAGATCCGCCGGGGGCAAGGAAAGCCCGGCAGGAGTTGGAAACCTTCATAGAGGCAAATAAAGGTGGTGAAACTAAAGAACCTAAACTACACACAAAAATCATATTCCTCACATTCACACTGCCTGCGGTGGGGGTCGGGGGAGTGGTGCTCTGGACTTCCTGCAGAGCTCCTCAGCGACCAAGGGGGGGACAAAAAACGGTAAAGAGGAGCTGCTGGCTCGGCAGACAGTGTTGATGAGAGCCACCCTTTTGGGTTGGTAGCAGTGTGTTTGACAGGGGGGGGGGGGAGAACAGATGGAGGGGGTCCGACAGTCTCTTTAGAAACACTTCCTGTGGACAATGCTGGGGCCAGACTCATCGTACTCCTGCTTGCTGATCCACATCTGCTGGAAGGTGGACAGCGATGCCAGGATGGAGCCGCCGATCCAAACTGAGTACTTCCTCTCTGGAGGAGCGATGATCTGGGGATGCAAGAGACATTACTCATTTTGGCCACTGAGGGGCAGCAGAGCATGACAGACAGGGAGGGCGGGGGTACTTTTCCATAACTGTGTGCTGCTAATATTACCTTAATCTTCATGGTGGTGGGGGCCAGGGACGTAATCTCCTTCTGCATGCGATCGGCGATGCCCGGGTACATGGTGGTGCCGCCCGACAGCACCGTGTTGGCATACAGGTCCTTACGGATGTCCACGTCGCACTTCATGATGCTGTTGAAGGTGGTCTCGTGGATGCCGCACGACTCCATACCTGGAGAGCAACGCCTTCAGTCACCTTTGCCGATTTTTTTTTTTGGGGGGGGTGGGTCTTTCATGGCCTAAAAAGGCGGGCCTTACCCAGGAAGGAAGGCTGGAAGAGTGCCTCGGGGCAGCGGAATCTCTCGTTCCCGATGGTGATCACCTGCCCGTCGGGCAGCTCGTAGCTCTTCTCCAGAGAGGACGAAGAGGCGGCCGTGCCCATCTCCTGCTCAAAGTCCAAAGCCACGTAGCACAGCTTCTCCTTGATGTCACGCACGATCTCGCGCTCAGCTGCATCACAACGCACACACACACAAAAATACCCGTTTACACTGGGGGGTGGTTACATTGAAGAGTTTTAAAACTTTGAACCCTTTTGCCCCCTTCAAGTGTGATTGCACAATTACAACTTTCATGTGTGTCACAGACCAGTAGTAGTGAAGCTGTAGCCACGCTCTGTGAGGATCTTCATGAGGTAGTCGGTGAGGTCGCGCCCAGCCAGGTCCAGCCTGAGGATGGCGTGCGGCAGCGCGTAGCCCTCGTAGATGGGTACCGTGTGGGTGACGCCGTCGCCGGAGTCCATCACGATGCCGGTGGTGCGGCCCGAAGCGTACAGGGACAGCACGGCCTGGATGGCCACATACATGGCGGGCGTGTTGAACGTCTCGAACATGATCTGGGGGGATGACCAAGTCACATTAGTGGGGGAGAAAAAAAAAAAAAATACTCCAGTGGTTTAGACCGCAAATCTTTGTCTAAGCACGCCAAGTCAGAACTGTAGTTAATTCACTTTGTATGAACACAGCTGCCCTCTAGTGGTATGCAAAGTTGTCACCTTTAGGCACGCAATTTTTGTTAGGATGTGAAAAATCAGGCCCACACAGTACTATACTGCTTATCTATCATATGTGCCTGGATTTATTTTTTGTTTAAATTATGGGACAGAATTTACACTGTAGTGTTAAAAAAAATCTGGCCGTTTGTAATTGAAATTTTGTTATTCCTTCATATGCTCCTGGATTTTCTTTAAACCAATAAATAATTCTTTTTTTTGGGACATTAGTGTCATGTTAAAAATCAGACCATTTAAAGTGATATTCCCAATTTACATTTGTTCAATTAACTGAGCCCATTTTGACGACATGCCACTGAAAATAGTTTGCATGCCATGTTGTGCACGCCATGCCGCGCGCCACGCACAAGAAACCTGAAGTCCGCACAGTGCTGGAAAGTGAGCTCAGAAAAGACACCTGGAAGTTGAAGGAGGAAAGGCACTGAGCAAGGAAGAGACCAAAAAAAGCACCGCGCACAACGTCTCACGCAGCAGCACCACCACCAGGGGCTGGCAGGCCTACCTGGGTCATCTTCTCGCGGTTGGCCTTGGGGTTGAGGGGGGCCTCGGTGAGCAGCACGGGGTGCTCCTCGGGAGCCACGCGCAGCTCATTGTAGAAGGTGTGGTGCCAGATCTTCTCCATGTCGTCCCAGTTGGTGACAATGCCGTGTTCGATGGGGTACTTGAGGGTCAGGATGCCCCTCTTGCTCTGAGCCTCGTCCCCCACGTATGAGTCCTTTTGGCCCATGCCCACCATCACGCCCTGCCGCCGGAAGGAGCAACATTATAAAACAAGCGCCTTTCGTCAAAAGACGCAATCATCGGCTCATTTGGATACTCTTGCTACAACACAGTTAAAAAATAGCTCAACTTTCATGATCCAAAAAGTTGGCAGGCCATTTCAATGTACGCGTATTCCTTTGTCCCTTCAAGATCCGAAGAAGGGTGCCAGCATACCTGATGCCTAGGCCGTCCCACGATGGAGGGGAAGACGGCGCGGGGGGCGTCATCTCCGGCAAAGCCAGCTTTGCACATACCGGATCCATTGTCCACAACCAGGGCAGCAATTTCGTCTTCCATGTCTTTCTGAAATCCAAAAAAAAAAAAAAATGAGTATGAAGCACCTAAAAAGGGAGCAGGAAGTTGCGCCATTTCGGAGGCTCTTTGCCTCGTTCCGCTGCGTGTCGCAATGGCGGCAACCCCCCCCC